TGCCCCATGCGCGGCGACGACGACGACGAGGCGATGACCGGCGACGACCGCTGTCTCGCCTTCACGTCCGTGCTCCAGCACTACCTCCACGGTAGCCCACCGCATCTCGCAGCAAAAGGTGGTCACGGTACGGCGTAGAGCTCTCACCACGCCCACGGTCCAGCATCGGCGGCGCAGTCGAGCCTCATCTTTTGAACGCGCAGCTCGGCAAGAGCATCCAGGGCTTCCGCGGCAACCGACAGCAGGTTCGCCCTTGGATCACCCGCATCCTTCTAATTGCTGTCACAGGACGCAGAGGAGTGGTTCCAGCTCATCATGGAGCTCTGCGAAGACGAGTACAAGAAGACACAGCCCAAAGGCTCGCTTTTCGACCTCATCGGACGCGCGCCGGCCGAGAGCCGCAACCCGTTCTACGGCCTGAGCGGCACACTCCTCGTACCTCACCAACCCCCTTTTTCATTGAATGCGATGCAGCAGTATGTAGGAGTGTACGCGCTGCCACATGCGCAAGCCCATGTGGACCGATCGGTTCCTCGACCTCAAGCTCTCGCTGTGCGCTAGTATGGACGGCCGCCATGTCTTCAACCACCTCCGCGAGTCGTGGCGCCATCACACGAGCATGGAACGCATCGACGGCGTCGAGTGCACCAATTGCACGCTGCGTGCGCTCCTCGCTGTCGTGGAGGAGCAGCGGGACGCACTCGCGACCGGCGATCCCATGGAGTTTGTCGATGTGCCCTCGCTCTGGGAAGGCGGTGACGCCCGCAGTCTCCTCCGCGCAGACGTGCTCGAGTGGCGACAGAACCTTCTCGGTACGTTCCTTGATAGACTGATACAAAACAGCAATGCCATAGATATCCTCGGGACGCGCCTTGCGTCGACCAATGGCGTGTGCGACCTCGACATGGACGGCTCGGGCTGGACGGACAACGAAGGTCTCTGGCTCGACAAGAACGGCATTGAGGACCCCCGCGCGTGCCGACGAACGTATGCGCCCTTTCTGCGCCACGTCCGGCTCATGCGGTGCCCCGACGTGCTCGCGTTCCACATCAACCGCAACGTGTTTCTGCACGACGCCATGGTCAAGCTCGACTCGTACCTCCGTTTTGAGTCGACGTTATTGGCGCAGGATTTGCTTCTCGACGACGACACCAAAGAGCACACCTACGTAGATTCTTTCAAGTTGATGGTTCTATCAAGTTGATACGATTTTATGGATGTAGGATCAACTCATCTACGATGCGATCGCGGTCATTGTGCACCACGGGAACGAACGGGGCGGCCACTACACGTGCTATCGCCGGCTGGCGCCCGGTCGGTGGGTTCACGTCTCGGACGACCGCGTCGTCGAGGTGCCGACGACCGAAGTTGCCCGCGCCAAAGCCTACATGCTCTTTTACGAGCGCCGATAGAAACCCTTTGTTTAAACACACACAAAACGAACACCGACAGCAGCACACACGTGGATCGAACGGCGGTAGTGTCGAGTCTCTCACCGGAAGGGACACCAAACGTCTTTGATCGTACAAGACGATGCGTAGAACAAAAGGTATACGTATGAAATAGGGGTAGGGTTGCGTACATTGGGGCTACTGGAGACAACAGAAGCCACGTTTACCCTGCCATCGACGTCTCGAACGCGTCAAAGGCATGTTCACACGCACCGTCAACGACGCCTCGGACCGTAATGGGCTGCAGCACGCGACGAAAAGAGCACTGGGCAACGTTAAACACGTTTTAAATGGCGGTTTAAGAGACCCCATGCGAGTGGAATGCGCCGCGTTCAACGCAAAAGTGCCGGTCCTGTGTTTGCCGCCGCGGAAACGAGTGGTCTGGTGACAGGACTTGAATGAATCGGATCGTGCGTCAAAGGTGTGGCAGTCGAGGCTGGTCATCATCAAGCGAAGGCGCAGCTGCGTGCGTACGGGGCAGCGATCATTGACCACTGCCCGCACAAAGCTGTCGGCGCCGTGCACACTAATAATGGTCGGGTGCATCGTGTACCGAGCGTCGTGGGCAAACGCAGCATAGATCGACCCACCCGCCTCGTCGACGGAGTCGCACGCATGAGACAGGCAGTCGATTTTTTACGCCGTTGTAGTCGAGACTGGCTACACCTACTAGGATTCTTTATGATGCGTATGCATCGAAAGGCGCCCCATGAAAACCACGTTGATAGCCGAAGAAATGGACATGGATGACGTGGCAACGTGCAAAGCGGTAAAATAGCTATAGATTGATACTTAGTCGCGAAAGCGAGACGCGCTCGTGTTTGCTTTGGCGTGGAAAGGAGCCACGATGGCGGAAAACCGACTCACTGGAAGCAATCGTACAAAGCACTTGAGGACGCACAGCAACTACGAGCACCACGGCGACGGTACGGCTCCGAGCGCCAGCTGGAAGCTGCTGTCGTGCGCCTCAAGCTCGGCAAACGTGCGGTCGGCCGTCGCCGACGTTGCCACAGAAATCGCCAATTCCGGATCGGACGCCATTCGATCGAGACTCGAGAGCAAGCTCAGACGCTTGAGATGCGTCGTTCGACCTCGCCTCTTCGTCAGCACAAAGCAGTCGACGCTGCGAAGACTGGTCGTCGGGTGCATCTTGTACCGCGCGTCGCGCGCAAACGCGGCATAGAGAGACCCGCCCGACTCGTCGACGAGGCCCCGGCGCAGCGTGATCGATCGTATGAGCTTGTACAAAAGTCGGTTCTTGACGCTGTTGTAGTCGAGACTCGCATACGGGACCGACACTGTCTCGCGGCAACAGTGGGTGCGTGCAAAGCCATACAAGATTGGGATCGCCGCGATGAGGAGTGTGAGCAGCACGCAGCCAAACAGCACGTCGACTTGGTGGTCTTGCATCTCGGCCGACGATGGCAGGCGAAACAGGTAGTAGTACACATAGACGACCACCGTGTTGGCTTGGAGGTAGTCGACTGGAATGGCGTACACAGCGACGCAGACCGCAACGATCGTCGGGTCGACTTCGACGAACCAGTGCTCTTTGTGATAGCGTTTGAGACTGCGCGATGTGAGAGCGAGCGCGAGGTAGGCGAACCATACCTACAGTCAAAACCCACCATGGCGTCCATGCCGCGATGGAAATCGTTGCCGTACCGTCCGGGAAAAGTACAAGAAGGCAAGGAAAAGCGTGTAGAGGTCCACGAATTGCGTCGCGCGCACCATGGCGATGCCCATGTACTCCATACTGAACCAAATGTCCAAGGTGAACGCCGTCGAGACGATTGGGTCGAGCAAAATGAGTGCCGTGGGGTCTCCAATGACAATCTCAAACGACGTGCCGCGTGTCGTGCGTCGCTGCAGGCCATGTGTCGTTAGCGTCCGCGCTAAATGAAAGCAGTGCCGGTAGTACGCTCGCCACATGACGTGCAGGACGTAGCAGGTGAGGCCGACGCGGTACAGAAACTTGACCCACAGCCACGTGTAGAAGCGACCGAGCTGAAAGGTGAACGTGAGCGTGTAGACACCAAGCGCGTCGATGCCAGTTAAATCGTTGCCAATCGTGAGCCAGATGCACTGCCGGCCGACGAGCACGGAGGCAAACTTGCCGTACTGGCACGCACCGACCTTGTCCCAGCGCAAGGCATCGCCAAGAGTTGCATTCTGGTGATCTGTGGCTGCAAACGAACAGAGGACATTCCAAAAGTCACCGCCATAGAAAATCAGCCCCGGCAAGCCGAGCAAGAACGAGATGCAGTTCGCCTCGGGCAGCGCGTCGCGCATATCCAGAGCCACACGAATGACGTCCGTGCGTGTGATGTCATCCACATAATAGGACGATGCATGATGACCCAGTGTCTGTCGGTTGAAGTGCGCTTGGTTCATTGCGAGGTACCAACGATTGAAGGCCGAAAAATTGGCAAATGCAGGCTCGGGCGCGTCGCTCGCACGCCACGGGACTTGCTCGGACAAGTATGCTTTCAGCGGCTACACAGCTGCGTGAGCTCATCGCGGCAACAAAACAGAGTGTACCATGGAGGTGATGTTGACCAGCATGACGACGCTGAGAAGCACCGAGGTCTTGTTCCAGCGCACAGAGAAGACGAGAGGCCGCTTTGCATCCAACCTCGAGGACGAAGGTAGCTGGCTTAGCGTTGGTGCGACCTGCGACATCGAGCGTGTGAAGCGGTTGCATCTAACATTAGGTGGCTGACGTGGCAGCACCACGGCGCGTGACGGTTTCAAAAGGTTGTTAAAGCGCGGGACAGCAACGTAGGGGCGTTCTGCACGCAGAATGCATGCTGCTGTTGAAGGACGAGAGATTCGTGCGAAGTACCAAGATCATGTTGTTTGTCAAGGACGTGGACGCTGCACCCTAGAACCAGCGTCCTTGCATGGGCAGTGAGTGACATCTGTGCTTGATTCGCGGTACAACGACGTTTGATTTTTCGACATTACGGACGAAATCAAAACTATGGGCGAGCTTCCCGCAAGACTAGATGGTGATTTGTCGCAATACGTTCTTAAGTCGGCATGCTACATGCACCACGGGGTGCGCGCCATGCCCCGGTGTATGGAAAACGCCGCGCCGGTGAGCTCGAGCCGGTCAAAGACGTTTGCAGCGCTCTTGGTGCGGTTGTCTATGATCGCGAGGTGCGGATTCGTCAAGTGGCAGTCCAAGCCCCGCAGGCGACTGAGACGAATGGCT